GAAATATGTGGTTAATATTAATTGTTTGACTCTTTTTTTTTTATAACCGTGGATGTTCGGGTTAACTTCTGCGCACCTCGACTAATTCCACGGGGCAATTGTTTGACTTTAACTTATATTAAAATCTGATTTTAATAAAAAACAAACGGAGCCTAAGTATAGAAGAATCTAGGAGATAGAGAGATGAAAGAAGTTGAAAATGGAGCCTATATCACACCTTTACCATTTTACGCATCTTTACTAAAAAGGGTAGCAGGCATTTCGAAGTAATTTCCCCTTCCCTTCTCAGGTCAATTTATAAGAGGGGGAGTCTTTCTATCAGGCAAATTGGGTGTTGGAATAACGTATAGAGGAATTAGGATGTTAGCCCCCGCACATGATCCATACCAATCCCACTCCTTTCTACTATTGTTTCTTTGTCACTTCTTGGAAATTATAAAGAGGATTTTTGGACTTGACTGAGTGAGTGAGAGGGGAGCTACTGTCAGAATTGAAAACGTCCTTAATTCCTCGATTCATTCGGTGATGCAAAATTCATCACTGGCTAAACAATTATTTGATTATGCCATTTTAGGCTTTATGATGTATCTAAAACACACAATTGTTTTATCAGTGATCTAAGGGTCGATTTTTATAGTGATATCTAGTAAAAAAAAAATAGTAAAATACATCTAAAAAAGATTAGGTCTTTTCGAAGAGATGCAATTATGTTATTTAGAGAGAAGTCATAATTTTTTTTTATAGAAGTTAGTTATTTTAAAAGAAGTAGGAACGGATCTATAAATACTATGCGCCTTTTTGAATATGTGTTGGATAATTTTATGGAAATGTTTTGTTGGACTAAAAGAGTTTTTTAGAAAAAACTGATCTAAGGTAATTTTATTTGCAAGCTCCTTTACAAGAAACAACAACAAAAGCAGAAATCATATCAAACGAGCCCTAAATTCACTTGTTATATTTACTGTGTGTGAATTAAATCAAATATTTAAAGAAAATCTTGAATTCACCAAGATAATGAAGTTTCATCGAGACGATTTTATCCAGATAGATTCAACGGGTTTACACCTATGACGATGAATTGGGCTTGGCCGAGCTGAAACTTACCATTTAGCCCACTTAACATATAGCTAAGCCTTTTGTCATTGGCTGAGTTTAGACTGCGATTCAAGTCCAAACAAGATTTGGGCCTACTTTTCTGTCCTCAATAAATTCGCCCAGATTGGAGCTCTACCCATCGAAATCTCTTGGAACATTTGTGTTTCTTTCATTGTTTAGTAAAAGAGGAAATTACATTAAGCCCTGGTTTTAGTTTTCCATTTTCACAAATCACTTCACAAGTTTAACTTTTCAAAAATCAGATTTTTTATATTTAATTTAATATTAATTATATAATTTTCATCCAAATTATAATAACTCAAATCAACTATAAAATTCATTCCACCTCCTCCACGTCTTTGTGCTTGGACCGCCGCCCAACCAGTTCTCTCTCTACCCCCTCCTCTCTCGTCGCCGTCGACCCCGCCACGCCACGCTATGATCTGAAGCGGCGATTGAAACGCCATCAACTAACCCTACCTCCCTCCTACCTCATTTTCCCCAAAATCCCTTCATTGTCAAGTGGTGTAGCCGCCAACCGCAACCAGCAGCAGAGCTTCCAAAGGTCGAGGCGATTTGAGGCAGGTTGTGATTTGAGGTATTCTTCCAATGGCGGCGCCGAAGCTCAAACGATGAATGCTGGATCATCAGATTCCCCGAGGGAATTTCCCAATGAATGGAATCGATTTTCATCTCCTCCCAGTTCTGCATCATTTCCTGCGGATCTAGAATTTGCAGATAGGTCTGATCTTTTGTTATTTCCTGAATGGGTTGTGATTTGAGGCAGGTTGTGGTGGTGGATGAGGTGGGTCGGATCTTTTTTTTTTTTTTTTNGATGGATATATATCGGTCATTTTACACTAAAAACAGTGAAAATGACGTTTTTCGCAATGAAACGTTGAAATAAGGGCGAAAATGCAAAAAAATGAAACGTAGGGACGTTTTGCACACTACATGCCAAACGTAGAGACTTTTTTGTGCTATTAAGCCATTAAGCCATTTCAAATTTCAAAAATCTGGTTTTTAAAATTTTTATTTATGAAATAATAAATAATTTATTATTACATATTTAATTCTAATATAACATGATTACCCCACTCCCATCTCCACCATCCCTGCCGCTTCGGGGACTAATCCGGCTATCGTTCCGATCACAATTCTTCTCCGGCGACTATTCTGATGATCGTTCCGTCATCACTTTATTCCGGTGATTGTTCCAATTTCGGCGAATATATTAATGTCACATATCTATGCAATTTGATCACAATTCGAAAATTTTTAAGTCATAATTCAAAATTTTTATATGTCGTAATTTGTTCATCGATCACATATTAAAAATTTAAAAGTCACAATTTATTTATCGATCACAAATTACAAAATTTATAAGTCACTAATAATGTTATGGTCACAAATATTACATTAATTGAACACAAATTTTATTTAGGTCACAATTTATCAAATTATTGGTCACAATTTAATAATTTTTAGGCCACACAGCATGTATTGGTCAAAATTTATCTAATTCATTGATCACATATTGTTTATTGGTCACACAATAACCAAATTATTGGTCACAATTAACCAAATCATTTGTGACAATTACCAAATCATTTGTGACCACCACTTCGCCACTGTCTCCACCAGCGGTACCACCACCGTCGCCGCCCAATAGCAACATCAACATCTCAAAATCAAAACTACACCCTCCCCAGCACCACTTAACATTCAAGACGCTAACATTACCTTCAAAATAATACAATCTATGCATTGCACGGGGCAAAAACTAGGGCTGTAAATGGATCAAATATGGATTGGATCTGTCTATATCCGATCCGATCCGATACGATAAGAAAATTATCCGAACCGATCCGAAAATCCAACGGATATCCGATCCGAAATTAATAAAAATTAGGAAACAAAATAATGTTCTTTAAAAATTTTTGAATTAACTTGAGGCCCACTTGTTTTTACTAACAAGCCCAATAGTGAACTAAAATTAAAAAAAATCTATTGTTTTTATAATATTTTACATTTATGTGTATAGTTATTTATTCAATTTAACAACCGGGTCGATACCGATTCGACTTTTGACCATTGATCCTCTTCTTTTTCCGAGTTGATGCTCGGGTTGGTTTTTAAAATATTGGTTGAAATCAACTTTTTTTCTTCAAATTTTCCAATTCTTAAACAGGCTAAATAATTATAAATTTTCCAACCTTTTTATGTTTTGAATTTGATTACTTTTTTATTCTAAATTTATTTATTTTCTCATTTATTTATTTTAATAACAAATAATATGATATAAAAATATTTTACCAACTCAATTATTTATAACATATCGGATCGGATTGACTTATATCTATATTTGATCTATTTAGTTAACGGATCATCGGATTCGGATCTTGATCGGGTTATCAGAGTGAGACCTTAAATCCATCTCCCATTAATTTCGTCGGATTCGAATCGAAATTCAATCCATTGACAGCCCTAGTTGGCAGTGGCTGGCGGCAGGGTGGTTACAAAAGTCGGTGGTGGTCACACAAAAAATCTAACTGTGACCTTAAAATTGTGACTAAAAATTAATCTGTGATCAATAAATTTGAAAAAATATGACTGATAGATAACGGTGACCCGTAATTTTTGGATCTGTGACCTATAAAACTATTGATTTGTGACCTCAAAATAATTAGTGGGCTACAAAATTTTTTATCTGTGACCGATAAAAAAATTGTAACCTAGAACATTTGTGATTTGTAACCGAAAAAAAATGTGACCTATCAATTTGTGACCGATGAACAAATTGTGACCTACAAAATATTTGAAATGTGATCGTAAAATAATTTGTGACCGAAAATTAATATGTGACTAGTTAAATTGT